ATCATGCAAGGATCAAAAGATACACACACATCTTTGTATAATGATACAATAAAGAAGATATAGTATATGTACTGTACTTGTGAAAATCATTTTAACATAGTTTTGTTTCTTTATTTACACTGTTTTAAACAGTGACAGATATAGCAGATGGAAATCCACATTTTTATGTGGAACTTAGACCTTGCTTTGATCCTGCAGGATATCAAAAGCAGCTGTTCTACAAGCTAAATATGACTTTTAACATATGACTATTAACATTCATTTATATCCATGATTTATAACACATAAAATAATGAAAACATGATAAAATAAAAGAACAAATTAAAAGATGCACCTCTTGTCATTTTGACCATTGACAAATTGGTGAAGGCGGATTCCTATTTTGGCTATACAGCAACTATATCTTATGTTCCAAATGGCAAAGTTACTGTAGTCTGTCCAATTACGGCTGCAATAGATTATTGAACTTCGAAAATAAATCATTTACACTTGAAAACTCAAAATTATTTTAGTCAAACATCTATCAAGGGATCTCAACAAGCTGTTCTAATACATAGCAATAAAGCTCAGTTTCTAGTTTATTAAAGCACATCAGACTATCAGTTTTAAGTTTCAGCTGCTTGTTTTAGTTAATTGAAATTGCTTCCTATGGTATTAATTCTTAATATTGGTGGTTTTACATTATCTACTTTACATTGGTAAATGCACAGATACCTATTATAATTGCTTCAATATCTGAAAACTGTGACATGACATGACATTTTCATGCTGAATTTCAAAACTTAGGCATTGAAATTGATAAAAAACTATCTTTATTTCCCTGAAGGTAAAAATTATGTTGAGTAGTGTTATTAAACATTAAAACTGCAAAACTAAAAATTTTGTAGTTGTATTTTCCATAGTTGCATAATTTAACAGGGCTTTTGTCACAATAAAACATTGGAATTCTCTGCTTTGTATTCAGCATATTTTGAGAATACAGGGCTGTGCTAAAATTCTGTGAATTTCAATGATATTTTTTACAACCTATTAGTAAAATTTCTAAAGAATTTTTTCTGACAGTGCCCTGTTGTTATTAAATTTATCCACATCTCTTATAAGTTTATTATAATAAGTTTATACAATAAAAAATATTTAATATGTTTTAGAAGTGGGAATTTTAAATAAACACTTTACCAAACATATAAAAAGCTTGCACAGGACTTCCTGTTCAAACTTCCTTGGCAAAGGATAGCTTTTATGTGAAAAAGAGAACATTGTGATCCTATTTTAAAATGCTTTTAAGAAACAAATAGGGGGAATCTTCATAAACATGATTTCTAAATAAATGTACTGTAAAAATAGTAATAAATTTATAATCCCAAGACTTTTATATAATATTAAACAAAAGGACAAAAGGTATAAAGAAACTGAAACAAATGTTTAACTATAGATTATATAATTTTATAAATATTAAATTTTTCAAATAAGTGATAAAATCATTTCAATTTTTTAAAAATTTAAGAATATTTTAAAATAATAATTTAAAATATTTTTATAGTAATTTTCTTTTGTAAAAGTAATATAAAACTAAAATTAATTATATATGATAATATATTATTATAAATTCACTTACATCTATTTTTGACTTTTTAAAATTATTAATGACATTATAAATACAAAATAAAAGAAAGATGATGAAAATTTATTGATGTGACTAAATAATTGTTTAAGTTAATTTTAAATCTTATATAATCTAATCTAATCTATGTTCGGTAAATGACAAACATAGATAGAAATTTTTCAATATTCTTAAAATTAAAGTTTTGAATAATTTTATTTAATTCTTTAAAAATGTCTCATGATAATTTATGTTTCAGCCAATGTGGTAAAGTTGGTAAACAAATAGTTTGACTCATGGGACTCTGACCTTTCTCTTTTTCAAAAAGTTTCACTACATTCTTTTCATAAGAAAGATAACACTAGATATCCAAATATTTTTATTTAAAATTTCTCTAAAAAGTTGTACTAAAATTTATGGCAAGAATAAAAAAATGGATATAACAAATTTACCTCAAAAACTTTCAAGTTTTTTGAGGTAAATTTGTTACAGTAGAGCGTCGTTTATCCGAATCAATCGGGGACTGGGGTGGTTCGGATAACTTATTTTTCGGATAACGAATCATGTATGAAAAAATATATTAATTTATCCCATGTTGAAATTTCTCTCCGTTGCGTGTCGCTTCATGTTGAATTTTTGTCGATGTTAAGCCTAACGAAGACTATTGTATCGTTAAAAATTATTTTTTTATTTTGTACAAACAAAATAAATTTATTGAAAAATATAAAAACAATAAAAAATTATACTTCAGATGTTAATTTAGTATCAAAATCGTAAAATATTTGAGTAGCCCGAGAAATAGCCGAAGATTGCAGCGCCACAGCACTAGCGAAAATTTAAATTTGCCGACTGGAATGCTTTCGAATAACGAACGTTTTGGATAACCAGCTTTCGGATAAACGACGCTCTACTGTACAGTATATCCATTTGTTAATTTTTGAGGTAAATTTGTTATATCCATATAAATTTGTTATAAAGAAACATACTATATCTCAATCAGCTAAAAGAATCCTCCTTTTATTAGTAAATTATCATAAACTGATTTAAATTTAATCATTTTAGACAAAAAATTAAATACAATAAAATGCAGAAAATAATTATTTGATGAATAATGTCATAAATTTGTCTGTAGAATGGTTTCTCCCATCCCAGCTATTACAAAAACAGTTAGTTTTCTACTTACGGTTGACTAAACTCAATTATAGTAAATTTTAAAATATGAATTTTGGAAAAAAATCATTTAACTTGAACAGATGAATACAATTGTGCCCAGAAAACTTAATCGCTTTTTGCCTGACCAATTTTTAATTTTAATGTAAACATAAAAAAATACTTAAAACTGAAAAAAACAAAGAAATACGTTAATTTTGAAGAGAAAGCTTCAAAGTTTATTATCCATTGTCTTGCCTTTCCCAGAAATCTGAAGCCAACAAGTAATTGTGATTACAGCTGGATGACCTTGAGAACAGCTGGTATCCTCTTTCGCGGAACATTCTCATAAAATTTACAGGAGGAGAAGGGTTTAAAATAGGGTGAATACCAGCTGGCCGTATATTTCTAAACAATTTTCAAAAATTATGTTTTTTATTGTGATTTCCGACCCCCCGACTTAATTAAACGTATATATAATAAAATCTATTAATTAAAAAAATTAATTTAAAAAAAAAATTGATATTCAAAGAAAAACATTTAATTTTGTATGTTTTATGCTAGTGCACTTTTTCCAAAGATGGACTTATCACACTGGATTAAACAGGGAACAGAATGACCTTGAGACACAATTTGCAGAATGAAAGCCAAAGACAATACAAATATGTAAGAGAAAAGTTAGTAAATTCTATTAGAGTATGAATGTACTGTGAATTCATTATAGTTTCATCAATTTTCCTGAAAGTGGTATTGAATTGTACAAATTTTCATTCAAGTTTATGTTCTGGTTAAAATGTTCTTATTTGATGGAGTTGTGTTGCATCTATATGTATGTAGTGGAGTTTTTATTATGAAATTAATAATGTGTACACATAAGTTATGCATACAAATCTTAAAAAGGATCTATGTATTGACTGGTGTCTCAAAATCATTCTGTTCTGTGTTCAATCCAATGTGATAAGTCAGTCTTTGGGAAAAGTGCATTAGCAGCAAACATACAAAGACAATGGACAAAAAGCAATCAGAATAAAAATATTTGAGATGTAAAAAAAATATTGTGCTGAGTTAAAATTATGGCACCTGAAATGAAAGTGACATTTTTACTTGGGAGTTTCTCTTTGGTAAAGATAAGGTTGGCACTTCAAAGCAGTGCCATAAGCTTTTTATTACTGTCTCTGCACTTTGCATTCTTGCTTTAGTAACATGGTGAAGCTTCCAAGAACCAATTTCAGAGACCTTCTTTGTTTTTTTTTTTAATACATTGAAAGCTAGCCAAACAACTGAACAGTAGTGTTCCAGACTGCTGCTGTGAAGGATCCAGGATCAAATCCTGGTTGAGAGCCTGCAAAAAATTTTTCACATAGAATCCATCAATGTGTTATTCTTCATGTTACACTCATGCTGCACCAGTGACTATGCAGATTTGATCCCTAAACAATGGAAATTGCTCAGGTTCACACCTGGGCTGACAGGCTGGCTAGTGAAATTTTCTGGATTTTCATCATGTCAATAATACCTGAATAGGAGACAGTTTCTCTTAAAATACTCCTAGAAGAAATGTTCCATGATTGGCAGATTGCCCTCATATTGTGTGCCACTATCTGGAACTATCAACCATTACACTCACACATTGAAAAAAAAACCATTTGTTCTTTTAGTGGTTCCTATGCTACTTAGTTTAATCTTTTTCACATAACATATGAGCTACTCAAAAAAACAATTAATAATAATAATAAAATATAAAGGTTAAGATATTGTTTTACAAATGCAAAGCCAATCAAATATTGTGTAATGCATCATAATTTTTGGTGTGAAATGGCATTTATAGATAATAAATTTAGATATCAAAATGATATTTAACGTGTTCATTTTCTAGGAAATTTCTTTGCATACTAATTAAAAAGTATTTTTCCTACTTATTTCTCAAATACTAAAATTCAAGATAGAAGTTGCCAGTCAGAAGAATTTTAATGACTCCTACTCCACAACACTAGTTTCAACATCAAAAGTGTAATTTATTGTTATTCTTCAACTATGTAGTAAATTTTTATTTACTTACTTTTCAAATATAAAATTTAACCCACAAACAAAATTTTCATTTATGACAATTTCTAAGAAATCATTAAAAACCTAAAATATAATAACTATTATATTATAGTTAAATAAAATTCAGATATTAATTTCAGATTTTTATTAAGCATTTAAGAATGTTAAAAAAATATAACCAATAAATAAAGTATTTTTGACTTACTTCTAGTTGTATTTCTCTCTGTAATCCATTTAGCCGAGAAGTTGATATTATTGTTCCTGTTCTAAAAGGGGATTTCTGGATTTTAGGCAGATTTTTTCCAATATTAGGAGATGAATTTTGTTTTGAAGAAAAAGAAGGGGAAGACACAGTTTGTTCTTTATTCAAAGTTACTATCCCCCTTTGAGGACTTTTTGGTGGTAACTTTCCATGTTGAGTGGATATTATAGGAATTCCCATTGAAGACAAAACAGTATTTGTTGGTGATGAAGGTTTTGGTTGATTAACAGGTGTTGACTGTTGCTGCAAGAGCTGTTGTCTCTGAAGATTTCTTGTTACTTTGCTGGCTAATAAACTCTTTATTAATGTACTTGAACCAGCAGAATTTGACTGGGAAGGCGTAGGTGTTGTACTTGGTGAAGGATGGCGAGGTGAAGGTGGAGGTGATGGAGAAACAGATGGCTGTCTAGCTAAAGCTTGTTGGAGTTGTGGATGCACTTGAGAAACAGAAGGCAATGGACGTGGCGGTGCTGATAATTGTGCTTTTAATATAGGACTGTGTGTAGGATTTGGTGATACAGAAAGTGAACGAGATGGTGGACCCAAATTACTACCAAATGAAGCTGGAAAAATTTTTTAATTATAAATGAATTATCTATCTATTTAAATTAATATTACACAATAAATTAAACTAATAAAATTATTTAACAAAATTAAATAAAACATTAGATATATAAAAAATTGATTTCACTGCAAAATTCACAACGGCAAAATAACATAATTCATATTTTTGGCATAAAGTATGTATGTGCCTTTCATATGAAAATTCTTTATCATAAAATATAAAATTCTTTGCAATCATGAATATTTTTTCTAAAAAACAAACATATTATTGATATTAAAAACATTTTATTGAACATTCTTTAACTTATTTATCAAAAAGATAATGAAAAAGAAATTCAAATTTATTCAGATTAAAGAATAAATTTATTAAATAAAGCTTATCATAGTTATTCAATATGTATTGTTCCTGTACTTTAGTACAGAAATATCTTAACTTCACAACTAGTTCTTAAGAATTGTTGCACCAAGTACAAACTATGACAAAACAGTGATATCTTACTCATGTTAGTTGTAGAGGTTATACTCAACATAACTAAAATGAATGGAAAAATATCTATATTTTATAAGTAATTTGTTGTTGCATTTTCTTTCATAAAAATTAACAAAAATGTGATTTCATTTAAATGTTTCTTCATAATATATATCATCAGAAGTTTAGATCACTGCAAATACAGTAAAAGTCCAATTATCAGATTGCCTCTGACTTGTCAAAAAAAATAAATAGGCATGTATACAGGGGTGTCCACAAAAATTTTCTAGAGGTTGCAAAGTTTGAATACAAATAACTACATCAATAAATTTTTATTTAATTATATAATTTTTTGGATGTTTTAAGAGAGAGAAGATATTTTAAGACAGATAAACTGTCCAATGGTTGGAGGTTTAAGGCTACACATCTCAATCACTTTTACAATTATAATTTGGGAAATTTTTTACTCAATCCTAGGGAAGAGAAGTGCCTCATCTGCCCCCCTTTCCTGTAGATGCCTGTACATATAAATGTATGGGCATAAATCTTTGACCAACCAGTATTACAATTTTTATCATTAATATTTTCATGTTTAGTGATAAAAAGCATTATTTAAAGTAATTATAACAATTACATCATTCTCAATGATACAATAACTCAAAATGACTAAATTTTTTATATGAAGACAAAAACTAGTTCAATTTAGTTCTTTTAAAAATAAGTCCAATGATAATTTTATGAACTGATCTTTAATTAAAACAAAAATATAATAATGTTGTAATTTTATATACTAAAAGTTCAAAAATTAGAAAAATTTTTAGAAAATATAGAAATCTTTTATATTTTTTTTAATACTCTACAATTTAAATTAATTTTTACAGTTTCTAACAAGCCTTGATAAAAATTATAATTTTCAAGTTTTAATATCAAAACTATTCATATTTATGAATATTTTCAAAAATAATTAATATTTACTTACTTTTGAGTGGAGATTTAGATGAATCTGAAGAAATTCCCTTAGATTGAAAATTTGAATGATTAATGCGGCGTCTCAGTCCATCGTGATGAAATGTAATTATTCCAGTTGAAGATTCTGTTCGTTTTAACCCACAATGTGGAAAAACAGTCCTAATAAATTAAAAATTGTAAATGTATATTTACAATTTTTTTATATTACAGTTTTTATTATAAATATGTTATTGTGTATATTTATAGCTTTTTTATAAATATATTTAAACCCTAACATTTAAATTGAAAGATTTTAATAATTTGTTTTAAAAAATATGAAAAATTTTTCAATTTGTTCTCATTCGTAAATGATAATACATTAAAAAACCACTATTAATAATGTATAATAAAAATTACTATTCTTAAATACTTTAACTTAATTAAATTTTATTGAAATGTGCCTAAATTCTTTAAATAGGAAATACTTTCTATATTTAGCTATAAATATGTAATTAACAGCATAATTTATAATTAAAATATTTAATTTTGTATCTATCACATTTTAAAAGATTTAATGAATTTTTTTTTATTTTAAATATTTTCATTACTACTACTGTGAAAATTATTTTTGTTTCCATGCTTCAGATTAATTTTTTAAAGAAATTAATTTACATATTTAATATTAAATATTCCTCATTCTCATAAGTAAATTCATCAAAACATTAAGTGTGCAAGTAAGAATGAATGAGCAAATATATATTTTGAATGTTCAAAATATTCAATGGACAAAAAGCGATAAGAATAATAATAAAGCTTGACTCTTTTTCAAAATTATCACCAATTCTTCTATCAATAATTGAATAATTATTTAAAAAAAGTCTTTAAAACAATGATTTTAGGCACAAAAAGCATTGAACAGTTACATTATTACTTTTGAAAGTTTCTTTATTTTTATTATGACAGTTAAACATTTTAAGCTCATTTTTAGTCTGAATTTATTTCATTTTAATGACATCAAATACTTGATATTAATATTAAAAAAGTAAAAAAATACTTAAATTATAGAATTTTTCTACTAAGTAAAATATAGCATTGTTATGTTATATTTTATAAAAACTGCATATAAAGTGCAAATGATTATATTAATATAGTATAATAAGAGATTTTCTATAATCCATTTAAATGTTTAAAATAGTTCCAAAAATTAACTATATAAATGCATAAATAATTTGACTTAAAAAACAGGAAAACCTTGTTTAACATGATTAATTAATTCATCAATTAACACAAGTTAAGTGAAAAATGCTAATTTCAGATAATAAACAATAGAAATAATTACAATTATTCCATCAAGATACCTAAATTTAAAATATACATATAAGCAATATTAGAGGATAAAATCATTAAATTCATAATAAAAATAATTGCATAAATGTAATTTCATTTAGCTACTGTTTTGCAAAATATTTAAACAATGTTTTTTGAACAGTATTAATATTTCTCATATCCTTCTGCAATTTGCAATAGGTGTCAATCACCTTATCAAGATTTCTCGCTACTTCTGTACTTTCTTCCATAGTAAGATCAGAGTCAAACAAAATCCTATGACACATGCAACGTGAACAAAAGCCAATTCAAGTTCTCTCTTTATTTATATCATTCTCTTCTTGTTTGCACTCCTGAATGTGCATGTCACTCACAGTGACTGTTGCACCCTCTTGTAGCTCCAATGATTTAAGTTTATTTTTTCTCAGATTGCATTAATTGACCACTTAAAGAAGAAAATAGTATTACTTCATTCAACCACTTTAATTGATTATTATGCCTGTAAAAATCATGTTAGGTGAGGTTTTCCTAAATTAATTGGAAAAAAAAAACTGCTAAAATCATACCTAACACAGTTTGCAAAAGAATTTGCATTAATAACAGCTTTTCTCCCCGCTTTACTACAATGTGTTACATAATCAGCATAAATATCATTTCTTGAAATAGAATACCCATGACACAATTCATAGGTTGCCCTTAACCTATAAAACATTTAAAATAAAATCAGAATTAATGAAAATAAAAAATATAGATCATATCATAAGTACACAATTATAACAAAAAAAATTTTTGAAGTTATTACCAATTGCATGCAAATGTTTCTGAATCTACATCTCCAGAGCTTTGAGAACTGGAATTAGCTAATTTATTTAAAAAGAAAAAAGAGGGTCATTTTTTCTGAAATACTGTTAAAATTAAAACATTTTAATTGTCTTAATAAATATATTTAAAAAGTTACCTGAGTATGTTTTGCTTGTAGTTGGAGGCAAAGTTTCTGTCACTGGTACTGGTTCAAATGTTTCTACAAGTTTCATACCAGCTTGTGCAGCTTGACCATAACTTCCAGGTTCAAGAGTCAAAAGACTGACAAGTGCTCCTAAAAATAGATATTTTGTTAAATGTAACTAAAAATACTAATAAACTAAATGTAATTAAAAACTCAATGATCAGAAAATTATTAATTATCCTTAATTAAAACTTCATTATATATATTATAAGGAGATAAAATTTTTAAATGTTACTAATAAAAATAAAATTTGAAATTTCTTAATATTTTTTACCTTATTTTTATGAAGCAAATTATTTTGTTTTCATTAAACTTGTATAAAAATTTGGATATGTTTTGAATCTTGATGTAATTTGTTCTTATTCTGAATTCCAAAAATTAATATTTTGAACTTCAAAATAAGAGCAAAGTGTAAAAATTAATTTTGACACCATATGCTATTAATGTTTATTAAATTTATTAATAAAAGTAATATCATATTTCCAAAATAAGTAATGCTTACTATAAAATCTAATCGTCTTTAGGATATTTATGTCATTAAGAGAGATTGCAATATTTATTCAGGAGGTCTATTTTCAATAAAACAAAATAAATAAATAAATAAGAAGCTTCAAACTTCTTGATTTTGGTTGAAAATAATTCAAATAAATAAACAAATTTGCATAATATAAATAATCTTGTCATTTGTAAGAAACAACTCCACAGACCAATCCAAAAACGAAAATGGTAGCAAACACTTATTATAATAAAAAGTGATTTCTTAAAACAGTTTCTGAGTTAATTTACAACTTATCTTCAGACCCATTCAAAAAAAGTTTACAGAATGAACTATATTACTGATACAGTTTTAAATTTTAATCATTCTAAAACACATTCTAATAGATTTAAAAATTGTGTTAGCTATATAATGTAAATTAGCAAAAGTACAAAAACAAAATTACAATACAATATCAAATAATTAACACAAAAATAAAGTATACTTAGAAGACATAATAGTTATGATTAAAAAAAAGAAAAAAAGACTAGATCAATGCTTTTTAACATTCAAGTAACAATATTGTAACATTGTCACTTTTCACACTTGCAAAGACATCAATGACCAAATCCAAGATTCTAAAATTATTTCATTCATGTTTCCTATATAATCTAATTAACATTTGCAGGGATGATGAGTTCATCTTCTGCTCTTAAAAGATTATTATTTGGGTCTGGTAAAACAACAGCTAACTGCTTTTTTGTTCAAAATCAGCTGCTTTGCCAATACTATATTCATCACAAAAACTTTTAACATATAAGCGTTAAATTAGACACCTATGTCACTAAATTGACGAGCGCTTTCAACGATATACACTTTCGTCTTCTTCAGGTCATTAGAACCTTTTTTGAATACAAAATTTTTAAAAAACATTCCAATCTTAAATAGCAAATTTGGAATGATAGCAACGGTAGAATATAAACAGATATTTAAATAAAAATATGCGCGGTAGAATATAAACAGATATTTAAATAAAAANTCAGTCTTTTATTATTTTTGTTAGTTATTTTCAAAGGAAAAAGTGAGAAATAAAATGTTAATTATAAATGAATTTTAATCAGACAAATTCCTTTGTGCATACAACAGACTTTTGCTAATCTAGCCCACAATAATCCAGCTTACCCTATAGTGTAATTGTCTATGCACTTCCGTTTCCATGAAAACATTAGTCATGTCACACATCTTGTCTTCTCGTTTACTTGAATTTCATTTCTGTATACAGTATTACATTTCAGTGTACTATATTATTTGCCTATCCTTCTCCAAAATGAATCCATACCTAAGGGCAACAGGTCACATCATTCATTGCTTTAGGTCTACACACTTTCAGTAATCCAGTACTCTTGCTAATCTGACACACCTCTGTCAAGGAATAGCTGGATTAGCAAGTGTCTATTGTGCATTCAATGTTAGGATCTTAAATTTGAGAATATTTATTATTTATAATTATATGGTTCTATAAAGATTTTAACCAATATTTTTCTATTCCATTCATGTTCACNGTAGAATATAAACAGATATTTAAATAAAAATATGCGCGGTAGAATATAAACAGATGTCCATTATCAAATTATACTATATTCATTTCTTCCTTTTTAATGAATGGCCCACTTATGCTCTTTAAATCTCCTTTTATTATAATAAAAAAAAGTAACTTCTTAAATGTTTATTAGCATTTTCTATTTTTGAATAAATAAATCCTTTCTGTAAAATATTAGCTTTTTTTTGCAATTATTAGAAAATATATTAAATATATCTTAAAATATTTCTAGGACATAATATTTCTTATTTTTAACTGTTACTCACCTATAGAATGATAAGTTCGTACTATTTTTTCACAAGTGTGAGTCCCAAATTCAGACAGAGCATAGAGAGCTTCTAAAACATATATTAACAACATAATGTCTGGAATTGTCAACAATTTTACCATTTGTTGGTATACCTGAAAAATAAAAATATGCATTGTAATGTAATTCATTATGTATTTTTCTTATATGTAATTATTTCAGAGAATAAGATAAATGTTGTTCAATACAATACAAAACTGAATAATTTATATAGAAAATTCTTAAAAACAATTTAAAAATAAACATTAAAAATTCCTAAAAATTTTAATTCCTGAATATTGTATTTCTGTAATTAAAACAAAAAAAATAAATAAATAAATCTTCTGTATAAATGATATACTTGTTTAACATAAGTAGTATAGGGAGAAGGGACTCTGGGATAAATGTATTAAACTTTAAACTTTTTAACATATTTATCCCAGTTTCTTTCACATTTTCAAGAAAAGACATCCACCAGGGTCAAATCATCATGGTTTCTGGAATATAATGGAATCCAGAATTCCTTGTCACATCAAAAACCATGCCCTCTTTTTATCACAGCACTTTTTTGGGTCTACTTCACAAAAAAATTAAATGAAATTTCTGGAATTTTTTTTTAATATCCACAAAGCTGAAAAGGTTTTCTGGAATATTTCTTGATTTTATTAGAATTTACATTTGTATTTTTTATGAAGCCATGTCCTTTTCTTATTGTCAACAATAGAATTTACATTTATTAGAGCTTACATTTCTTTATTACAATTACATTCGGAAAAGTCTTAAAACAAAAGATTTTCTCCCCTAATTAACATTTGAACCCCGAATAAAATACATAAAAACAAACAACAATAACAATTTACAAATAAATTAATATATAATCAATATAAGAAAAAAAATTAAAAATACAGTTAAAAAGAATATAATACAAAATACAATAAAAACAAGATTAAGAATTACACGATACAGTCAATTCCACTTAATTAGGACACGTTGGGACTAATCCATTTTGTCTCAATTAAGCGACTGCCCCAATTAAATGAACTAATAATAAATTCTAAAATAAAATATGTAGTACATAGGTAAATAAATAAGTAGGTAAAAATAATAATGTATCTATTTTAATGCTTTATTAAACCAAAATACAGAAAATACATGGGGGACCCAAAAATAAATAAAGTTTTTATACAAAAAATCTGGTTATAAACTTTTTTACAAAATTCCTTCTGTCACCTTCAAAGTACTCTCCATTAGATGTGACGCACTTGTCAAGTCTTTTTCCCCACTGTTTGAAGCATCTCAAACTCTTCAACCTTGATATCATCCAGTGCCCTTAGCAAAGTTGTTTTTATCGCCTCCACATCATCAAAACACTTCCCTTTTTAGATTTTTCTTCATTCTCGGAAACAGAAAAAGTCACACGGGACTAGGTCTGGTGAATATGGAGGATGGGGAACGACAGGTCATCTTCAAGAGGCCAAATAGTGGGTCACTCGTAAGGCCGTGTGTGCGGGGGGCATTGTCGTGATGAAGGAACCAGTCACCTAATTACCAAAGTTCCAGGCGTTTCCTTCACACATCCTCTCGCAGACGTCTTAACACTTTTTTGGCAGATTTTTCAACATTTTCACTGTTTTGAGATGTTGAAGGATGCCCAGAACTTCGCAGGTGGAACAAAACAACAGTAAGAGAAATGCAACACTACGCTCAAACGTAAACCTACAAACTGATGCCATATGCACAGCTGTTTCGTGAAGGTCTCTACTAACCCCATGTAACGGGAGAACACTCTACTAAGTCTACGAATGGCAGTGCGCTCTCAGTTCGGTTTTTTTTGGGTCCCCCTCGTATTTGTACTATAAATTTGCCAGACTCAAGATGATAGATAACTGATTTGCATCATGCTAGTGTTGCCAAATAGAGTATTAGTAGTGACATACACAAGAATTGACTGTTCGATTCGTTCCTGATTGAATGATTTTTCCTCTTAGTTAGAATGATTTCTCCCTTCTAACTAAAAAGGGAGAAAGGAAAGGGTTCGTCCAAAAGTCAACTTACGGTCTTCCTTTGAGTACAGTTTCCTTTACTTGGAGATGGGCCACTTTGGCAGAAGTGTCCATAGAATCTGCCAGCTTTGGATGATAATCTCAACGATCGGATGTCTGCTGTTCGAATCTAAACTTAATTATGCACACAATACCTTCTAAGGAAACTCTAGCTGTCTTCCAACTCAGTCGAAAAACCTTGAAAAAATGGTCCCTTCGCTTTTAAAGGGATCGTCCGGTCCAATCCAGAGCAAGGTCAGTAGCTTGCATTCAGGTCCCTCTCAGATGGGATCCCTGTGTGATACATCCCGCTAAGGGTCACCCCCTCCACTGTCTGAGCGAAAGACAAAATTGCTTTGTCTCTGCCAATCGTTAGACCTACATGACATTAGTGTGCATAGTGTCTACATATTTTAGAAAGATCCCTGAAATATATCAAAACTTGCTAAAATCCTTTTCTGCTACTGTCCAATTAAGCGATTAAATTATGTATTAATTTATTAGTTTGGTTTCTGTTCTTTGGGATTTGGCCCAATAAAGTGGTTGCCCTGATTAACCAGTGTCTCAATTAAATGGAATCAACTGTATCTGTTTACATGTTTTTTGAAACCACGATGATCAGTGTATAATAAATGTTCAGATTCTGCTATATTCTGTGAAATTCAAAAAAAAAAAAAATGGTGCATTAGCATTAAATTTACATATTAAACTATCTAAAGAATGTTATTAATGTATTAAAACACAAAGAAAGGTTAAGAATTATTTAATATTCATTTACATTCTTTCTTCAAATGACAATAATCAGAATGTAATAAGTGTTCAGATTCTGCTATATTCTGTGAAATTCAATAAAAAAAAAAAGATCTTTGAGATAGAGATAATCTAAAAAAGGGTGCATAAATATTTGAAAATTGCAAAGATTGCATGAGGGAACACTTAATGTAATCCAATTGGACATAATGTGACTGTTGTAATATCTGTGATATAATAATAATAATTTATCAAAACATTTTACGTGATTAGTAAATGAAGGAAAAACCTAATCTGGACCTAGCAACATTAGGGTGGCTAGTAAAAGGTAAATTGCAAGAATTTATTTAAAGTTAAATATATTTTATTTAGTTCTTTTGTGATTTTATCTAACAGTGATGGAGCAGTAATTTTTTAAATTAACTAAAATAAACTAAACTGTCAAAAACTACATAATGTAATGAATATGAGTGATTTTTTTCTTATGTGTACAATGAAAATTGTATTTTTGGCAAATTTTTAAAATGATGTAAGTAAAAGCGACCTTGAGTGACTAAAGTTTGACGTGAGTGGTTTAAGAACTAACAGTACCATTGATGGAAATATATAAGTTAATACAATAGATTATACTGAGGCAACTTTATAGTAAATTTTAAAAAATAGTTAAACATTTAGTCAACTATATTAATAGTAGTTAAAATCAGGACTGTGAAGATTAAGTCAGTAAAAATGGATTAGCACAAACTACAGTTCTTGTTTTTTTTTTTTATGTACTTTATATTAAGCTTCTAATAGGTACATTAACTTCCTATCTTGTATTATTGAAGCCTCCTGTAATGCAAGATCTTATTTTATGATTTCCTTACTTCATAATCTTTCTTTGCATATCACTAATTATTGTTAAAAATTTATATTCAAATACATTCTGTGTTAGCTAATTCTAAATTTTTATTGTCAAAAGACTTGTACGGAATGGCTAAGAACACTCAAGTTAAATTTTGTTTTGAATACTTTACTGTAACCATGTCTGTGATGGAAAATATTATCTTAATATGTGGTTGAAGATGATGATGATAATAGTGATAATGAAAAACTGTGAAAAAAAATGCAAGTACTTTCAGTTTCAATAGGAATACCTAATGATTCACTAGACATATGTAAAAAATAATCTGTTGATTCACTTGATATTGATGAAATGTCATTCTGGATTAATATAATCAAAGTATATTTTAAATTATTATTTAGAGGCAGGTGTTGAAGAAGGACCTTCTAATATTCTATCAGTGAAAATCCAGGAATGTCTACTTACTCCATAGCCCTAGCTAAAACTACATATTTTAATTACATTAGTACTTAACTATTGCCCCCTCCAACTGCTGATATTGTCAAACTATTAACAGAACTGCATAAGATAGCAAAAAATGAATTTATTACAGTAACTTAAGCCACATGTCTTGTATATGTAATCAATGTAAAAAGATGTGGATTATTTTCAAAAACAACTATGAAAAAAAATTAGAACACTCTGTTCACTAAGTTTAAATAGTTTCATTATTAATGAATACAAAATGAAACTATTTCTCTCCAATCTCTTAAACTCATAAATTTATGTTATGAATTTTGAGAAAGAAAGATGATACTTGATGTAAGTTAGTGAGCTCTAAGAAAGCTAACTTTTAGGTTCATGTACTTTCATTATATTATCCAATAAAATATCATTAGAATTTCAGTTATTAAAATAAAGTAACAAATTTTCTTTTCAAACAGAAATGATAAAAAATTCAACAAAATATTTAAATATGTAATTAAATTAATTAAGGCTGAGACTCCACTAGCGTAAAAACAGGCATAAAACCCCTTGCCATAAAAGCTTTTAATCACGTGACCCTGCTATTTTATGCCTAAGCAGGTCGTAAAACTAGCGTAAAAGTGAGTTGAGCAGTGTTCAACTTAACTGTTTTATTTTATAACATTAAATTTTACTGTATTTTCATGGAGTGACCAGTATGCTGCATAAAAACAGGGAAGACCAGCACGCCAGTTAAACTGTGATTAAAATATAAAATTAATCAGATCTAACAAAACTAGTTGTTAATTAAACATTAAAGAAAATATTCTTTTGAGTACAATAAAAATAATAACATTGTAATTTGACAGACTTAAAATTGAAGTGTTTTTCATTTACAAGACAATAAAACAATTAATGACTTGCAGTTGTAATAGAAGTACTAGTAATTAGTCAGTGTGGGCAACACTGATCATCTACCCAACCTTAAAAATAACACCTTTCTTTCAAATTTCGCACAAAGCCAATGTTAATCAGT